GAAAAAAGAAAACAGTAATACATTTAGAGTCCCCATAAGCATTACCTGCACTGAACGGAACACACAACTATAACCAAAGCTTTAACTGCCATAAATAAAAATAGAAGTTGAATAAATTTTTTTTTACAAGTTTATAAAACAAATCTTTTGCTCAGAATTTCAAGATGTACACATTCATGCAAGAAGATATGCTTAACGCTGGGCTTTTATATTCGGTCGATGGAACAATTAGGCAAACATCTTAACTGGAAAACAACTTCTTACTGGTTTTCCTACTAGGGCACTTGGCACTTTAACTATGTAACCACTTTCAACATTATGTAAGGCAATACTACATGTAATCCTATAGAAAAACCTAGAGAAGTACAACTTTATTTTCCATTTATCTTCCAGACAATCCCAATTATTTGTCTTCTTTTAATTCAGTTCCCACCAGAATCAAATAAAGCTTCTCTATAAAACTGATTATTTTCTAAAGACTTGTGATAAACTTTTTGTCAGCTATCAACACTACCACTTTTATGCTTATGTTCTGCAATTTTAGTCTCATAGGTTGTATTTCTAAGGTGACTTTCCATTAAGAATTGGGTTATCACTCATTCTGGTTTTAGCACTGTTAAGTGCCATGTCCTGGGAACCCTGGGATGGTTCGTCACCCTAACTAAGATGCAAAAGCCTGTATGTGTGTGGTAGCCTTACCTTGTCATCATGCATATCATCTACAGCCAAATCCTGTATCTCATGAGTTATAACCTCAAGGGATGGAGTTTCTTTCTTTATGCTGTCTGAGACCCTTAGTCCACCTCTAGGTTTCTGGGGCTGTTTCTTCACTGGTTCATCCTTTATTTTTCCTTTCTTCCCCTTCTTTCCTTTTTCTTCTTTGTTTGACCCTGCAGACTTTAATTCACAGAAGAAAACAGCTGATGTCAGTATTTTCAATACTGTCAATATTGTAACAAAAAATGGATTAAATGCCTAGCATATTAGATAGGCAGTGGTCTGGATGCCCCTTGGAAAGCAAAGGAAGAAAATGTTTTTAGATGTTACTTACCCCCAGCAATTTCATGATGAGTTCACGGTCTTCTTCATCTTGGTCTTTGTATTTTTCCTTCATTTTTTTCATTTTACTCTACAAAATCAAAAAGATTTTGGTTGGAAAAACTCCACAGTTAAAAACTGACAACAAATGTTTTTAAAGAAAAGGTTCTTCTTTAGTTATCTGTTAAAATGCTTATTGGGCGAGGCACCATTATGAAGATAGATAAACCACAGTCCTCACCCTCAATGAATTTACCATCTGGTGGTAAAAGAAGATACATATGAGTAAGGATAAATTAATGCAAGATAATCTAAATAAGAGGTACAAACATTTCTAAGATAACTTTGAGAAAGGAAACATTCAGCTTGAACAAGAACTGTGGGGGAGAAATAAAGCAAACCTGTAAGTTAGTCTTAAAGGAAGTAAATTTTATAGTATCTTGGAACATAGGAAAAGGAAGATTATAAGGTAAAGACAGGACAGAGTAGTAATAGCAAGTCATCACATTTGGTTGGATCAAGCTATATATACAGAGGAAGAACAAGAAATAAGGCAGCAAAGCTAGGCTAGGTACTTATTGCAGAGGCTCATAAGACTGAATTTCATCAACTTAAACTAGTGATTCTTAGGCTACACATTCGCATCACCCTAATGGTTTTTAAATTATAGACATCTAGGCCTCACCTGCAAAGATTTTCATCTTGATGAAAATCTTAGCTGGGACCCAAATAAAAAAATCTCTAAAATTTTAAAGATTTCTTTAAATAGGACACGGACACACACACGCACACACACGCACACATACTAACCATAAAAGATTGATGAGTTGAACTTCATTAAAATTAGCAAATGCTGTTCATCAAAAAAATACTATTATAAAAGTGAAAAAAAAATCAAGCCTCAAAATGTGAAAAGTATATGTAATACATTTATCCAAGATAAGCCTCGTAATTCAGGATTTCAAAGAACTCATATACATCAATGAGAAAGGTGGACAGCCCAGTTTTTAAAATGGGCACTTCAGAAAGAGAAAATTCAAAGGTCTAATAAACATGAAAAAGTGCTCAATATCATTAGTCATCAGGGACATGCAAATTAAAGCCAAAAAGACTGTAGTATATACATACTTGGATGACGAAACAAAAACAAAAACAAAACCAAAAAAAACAAAACCAAAAAAAACCAAACACCCTGACAATATCAAATGTTAGTAAGGATATGGAGCAACTGGAATTCTGATACACTGCTTGGTAGGAAATTGGTATAAGTACTCTGCAAAAGTGGTAATATCTACTAAAACCAAATACAATATGTATACACTATAACCCAGCAATTCCACTCCTAGCTACACAACAGAAACATATACTTGTAGACTTAAAAGACATATATAAGAATGTCTATCAACAACACTGCAGGCAGATAAATTGTGGCAGACTCGTACAACAGAATGCTATTTAGCAATGCAAATGAACTGTTATAAACAACATGGATGATACTCAGAATGTTGAGTGAAACGTGCCAGAGTATATACCATATGATTACTTTTATATAAAGTTCAAAAGCAGGCAAAATAATCTATAATTAAAGTAAGAATAATTTTTTTTTGGTGGAGATACTATTTAGAAAGGGGCAAGAGCGAGCCTTCTGGAGGACTGGAAATGTTCAAGTGTCTTGATATGCATGGATAAAAATTCATTGAGTTAAACACGAAATTTAATTATTTCTTAAAAACCTACCAGCAAAACTGTACACACCAGGTACAATTTTATAAGCAAATGCTATCAAATTTCAAGGAACCAACAACCTCCACTTTACATAAACTTCCAGAGAGTAGAAAAAGAGGAAATGGTATAACCTAGATACCAAAACCAGGTAAGGACAATTTGAGAAATTAGAGGCCAATTTAATAGTTTTTCTCAAGTAATTTACTACATTTATCAATTATAGGAGAAAAATAATAGATACAGAAAAAGCATTCAACAAAACTTGACTCATCATTATTAAAATAACTCTTCATAAAGGATATCTACCAACAACCCGTAGGAAAGATCCAACAATGAAGAAAATTTTAGAAATAGTCCCATTAATGTAATTAACAAAGATGCACACTATTATTACTTCTCTGCAGCACTACTGATGTTTGAGCTAGTGCAAAAAACATAAGTAATAATTGATATTAGGATTAGAAAAGAAGAAAAGCAGTATTACTGCCTACACATGAAATAGAAAATATTCAATAAGATTGCCTATTACTAGAATATGAAAATTGTTTTTCCACATACCAGCAATTAATAACTATGAAGTGAAAGTTTTAAAAATACACCATTTTAAAAAAGTAAGAAAAATTCTAAGTAGGAATAGATAAGACGGGTAAGACTAGGGGAAAATATATCTTTATTGAAGACTATAAAATAGTGTCACATCATTACAGTTCACATTCGTGGACAGGAAGAATCAATGTGGTAAAGATGCACCCTATTATTTACTGTTATTTTATATTGTTGGACATTTAGATTATTTTGTTTTCTTGCTATTATAAATATCAACTTGATGAATATCCTTAGTGCATACACTGATTTTTTTTTAGGATAAATTCCTAAAGTGGAATTGCTGAGTCAAAGAGCAAAGGTGGTGTTAGGAATCCCGCTG